AAACCCTATTGAGTCTAGTTTTAAATCGGAGCTTAAGTCAAATATGCAACTTATTTTGGAGGTTTTGGTCTATGTAGCCTTTGGACCTTTGAGGAAGTAAAACTATGTATACCACACAGTGTGTGGTAGAGGAAGTGTCTCACCACGTGACAGCCAAGAAACAAAGAAAGGAAGATGAAGAGTCATGGGTCTCAATACCCCCTTCCACGGAAGTTCCCAATAACCTACAGGCCTATCATGAGGCCTCGTGGAAAGATTCTACCACCTCCTAAGACCAAGACTAGAACACCTGTGCCTTAGGGAAGATTCAAGATCCAAAGCATAGCAACAGTTAAAGAACTCTTAGTGACACGGTTTGCGAACAACTCAGAAGCATTTGTTCAACTTATCTATATATGAATTGGGAAAGACTTTTCAACGAGTATCTTGTCATTCTCATAGTTCATTAAGAATCATTCAAGTCGGAGTTATTTAATGCTGTGGCTTAAGTGTAGAATTGTGCCAACCGTTCCTGTATGTTTTACACAGTGTGTTTGTGTCCTGTCCCTGGGAAATATTTGTGTGTGTGTGTGTGTGTGTGTGTGTGTGTGAATACTAGGGTGTGAACTCAGGCCCCTCACACTCTCTTGGTGCTTTACCACTTGAGCCACACCTCCACTTCCAGCTTTTTGCTGGTTTATTAGAGATGAAAGTCTCACGGCTTTTCTGCTCGGGCTGGCTTCCCACTGGACTTCTCAGATCTCTGTCTCTTGAGTAGCTGGGATTACACATGTGAGCAACCGATGTCCAGCTTACTTGGGGAAGATGTCAGAATTTCTAGATGGCGTGAAAGGGCCGCCCTGTGATCATCCGAACTGGAGCACCCCAGAGCACCCCAGAGGAGGGGCCATGTGGAGAAATACTGAAGATACTGTTCCCCCAGGAGTTAGAAAGCTGATTTTCTCTGCAATCATTCTGTCAAAAGACACTAGAAACCATGCCATCGCCCACACAAAGTGGACCCACACGACGCGCAATGTGTTCTCACGGGTTTTTTCCAATCCAATCGTGCACATTTTCCCCTCCGGGGTGCTCACACACAAGAGACACCCGCCTCCTGTGGAAACACTATGTGGTGACTTGGAAAGGAAGGGAGGTGTTGTTTTCCCATCCGTTTGGCTGGCGGTGTCTCCAGCGGCCCTGCCTCTGCCCATTTGTCTTTAGCGCCATCCTCATGTCAGACCCGACACCAGTGAGCTAGCACACCAACGTGATCACGGGGACAAACCTGCTGTGCTTTGCTCCTGGTGCCAGGTTCGCAAGGATCCGCTTGGGAACCCCACCCCGGGGACCCCAGATTCGCTTTCCCAGCGACACCCCTACCCACGCCCTCAACCTCAACCAATGATCAAAAAGGCTTGCCAAGGAATTGGGACTCCAGACCCAAATAGGTAGAGATTTGAATCGAATCCCTTTGAGACGCGCTCTGGTTTTCCTTTCCATAGCAATGAATCAATGTGTGGCTGGGAATTCAGAGAAAACGGGCCTCTGTCCCCCTACCTTCTTTTCTTAAAAGAATAAAGAAGAAGAATAACAATTCTTTCCTTAAAAGGACAGAACACCTATGGGCAGCTGATCATATAAAATAATATGTATCGAAATGAAGTCCAGGAAAAGGACACAAGAGGTTTTTGCGTTCCTTTGTTGCCGTTTATGTTTTCTTTAAAAACATTTTTCTTTCTTTCTCTTTCTTCCTTTCTATCTTTCTTTCTTCCTTTCTTTTTTGCTAGGGCAAATATTTATCCTAAGGCTCGAACTCAGGGCCTGGACGCTTTCCCTGAGCTTCTTTCGCCCAAAGGGAACACTCTACCACTTGAGCCACAGTGCCACTTCCAGCTTTTTCTGAGCAGTTTATTGGAGATAAGAGTCTCACAGACTTTCCCACCCTTACCTGGCTTCGAACCGCGCAATCCTCAGATCTCAGCCTCCTGAGTAGCTAGGACGACAGCGTGAGCCACCGGTGCCAAACATTCTTTTCTTAAAAGAATTAATAATAACAACAACAACAACAATAAACAGAATGAAAAATTAGGAGAGAATTAAAAACATGCTTTTCTTACGAGAATAAAGGATCTGCCAGTGAAGAAGAGGGAGGCCAGGCCAGGGGGTGCCAGGCTGACTCTTTTTTTGGGGGGTGGGGGTTTAGGGGTGTGGGTGGAGAGGGTCATGCCTTCTGCGCTGCCCACTGACCTTTCCCAGCTCTGCTCCAAACCAGAAGGAGGCCGACCGGTGCCAACCACTCTGTTCCTTCTGGACACTTGGGGAGAAAGAGGGTGTCCAGCCCCCCCCCACCTCCATCAGCCCTTTCATCCCCTCCACCCTCCAGCCTCCCCCCCCCAGCCCACCCCACGGCGGGGTGCGGGGGGGATGTGGGGGGACAGAGCCTGGCGCCTTTGGTGAGCCTGTGGCG